GAGGCCAGAACCCCGTGTGGGGGAGGCCAGAACCCCCTGTGGGGGGAGGCCAGAACACGCGTGGAGGGAGGCCAGAACCCCGTGTGGGGGAGGCCGGAACCCCCTGTGTGGGGAGGCCAGAACACGCGTGGGGGGAGGCCAGAACCCCATGTGGGGGAAGCCAGAACATGCGTGGAGGGAAGCCGGAACCCCCTGTGGGGGGAGGCCAGAACACGCTTGGAGGGAGGCCGGAACCCCCTGTGGGGGGAAGCCAGAACACGCATGGAGGGAGGCCAGAACACGCGTGGGGGGAGGCCAGAACCCCGTGTGGGGGGGAGGCCAGAACACGCGTGGAGAGAGACCAGAACACATGTGGAGGGAGGTCAGGATGCACGTGGAGGGAGGCTCACAGCCCCAGCAGCAGCAGCAGTGTCTCTACACTGCAGCCACCCTGTAGAAGAGGCCGAGGCCACGGCCACATGTGCCCTCAAGCTTTTGTGCCAACTCTGACCTTCAGTTAGTGGTTTCCAGAATTCTAGGCATGGGGCTAGTTATTGCCAACAGCGTCACGTAACACCCAACCCATAAAACCAGTGAGGACGGAGTGGTCCTGGCCGACCTGGGCAGTGCAAGGAACGAGGGGAGGTAGGCACAGGCCTGAGCCACCCGGCCACCACGCTGCCCTCTGCTCCCTGCCGCCCTGCTTGGAACTTGAGGGCAGGGCTGTGTCTCTGTGGACACCCTCACCACACTGGTGCGTCTGAGGGCCTCTGTGGCCCTTCTGGTCTCCTCCCGCAGCTCCTGCAGCAGGCGACTGCGAGGCCCAGGGTGGAGAGAGAGCAGGGTGAGCCCTGGGTCCCAGGAGAGGCCGCCACCATGAGCGCATCTGTTCCGCCCTCTCCTCTGAGAGCGTCCTGAGTGCAGGGCCGGCCTTGCCCCTTCCCGCTGTGCCCGGTGCTGGCTGCTGGCATGTGGGGTCTGCCGGGGCTGGGAGGGGGTCTCAGGGAGCCGGGCCACCCTGCTGCATGTCCTCCGTGCCTCAGCACCCATCTGCCATGAGGGACACACATGATGACTGCACAGCCTGTCGAGTATGTGCAGGTGCAGAGCCCAGCCCAGGCCACAGCACAGCTCCCTCACTCGGGAGGCACCTCACAGGTGCCACGGGACCAAGGGTCAGGAAGGCGGGAGCCACAGGCGGCTTCTGGGACGGCGGAGTGCCAGGAGCCGAGGGCAGCCACCTAAGGGTTACTGGAGGGACACTCAGGAGAGGGCCGACCCCTCAGAGGCCTCTGTACATGTACATGCACGTGTGCATGCATGTGTGTGTGTACATGTGTGTTGTACATGCATGAATGTGTGCAAGGGTGGTGGGGGGTAAATGGAGGCAGGGAAATGGAGGGCTCTCTAGGGAAGTGGGTGCCCTGTGTCAGGGAAGTGTCCAGGTGCAGGAGGCCGGAGCCGGGTGTGGGTGCACAGGGCTTCAGTGCTCCTCACAGCAGGAGCTGGCCGGGGCCTGTCCCCTGTCAGCAGTGGACTTGGGAGCCCTGTGGCCTCCAACCTGTCTGCAGAGCATGGGGTCACCGCTCAGGCTCCTGAGGCCAAGGGCACATCGCGTGCAGGTGGGCTGGGCATAGGAGGGCTGCCCTGGACTCCTTACAAGAGGCTTGGCCTTAGCTCTGTCACCTGAGAAAAGGGGCAAGGCCTGGCCCTGGGACTTTCCACAGCAGCCCCATGTCTGCCAGGGCCCTGGAACGCTGACCCTGACAGCAGAGCCAGCCAGGCGGTCACGTCTCAGTGGCCAACAGGCGGCCCTGTGGCAAGCTCACCAGCTGTCCCTTATGTCACCTGCTTGTCCTCCACACACACTGGCCTGTGTGCACACAGCCACCAGAAGCAGGACCCCACCAAGCCTGTCCTTGGGTGTCCCAGTTCCTCTGTCCCCTGGGACCCTCTTAGCTCAGGCACTGGGTCTGTGTGCAAGTGAAGGCATTGCTGGGGCTGGGAGTTACTTGTGGGGGAAGCATTGTTCAGGGCTGGGAGATACCTGTGGGGGAAGCATTGTTC